GCCCGCTGCAGGCCGCGCGCTCCCGGGCTGCCGTTCGAACGCAGCTGGGGACGTGCGCTTGACCGAGAGTCTTGCTACCAGGGCCTGTCCTGTACAGCCAGCCCGCTGTGACAAGCTGCTGATGGTTTCCTTTTGTCTGGCAGTGTTGACATCATCAGTGCAAAGTGAAGTTCTAGATGTGACTTCTGTTGATGTCTTGTAATAGAGGGATTTATTGGGTATCTGTAGAAAACATCAACTTATTACAAGACTTAATCCAGCCACGTTTGCTTTTCTTAAGTGACAAAGTAGAGATATTAATATCAACTTTTTATTTTTGGCATGCTGAGCTTTTTCCAGGGTTGTCTGTGTGTAAGTTCCCACTTAAAGGAGTGGCAGCAGACCGCGTTCCTGTTAGCAGCGTTGCTTTAGCCAAGGATTCAGCAGCAGTATCAGTAATTTCTGTGTGCGAGGTTCAAATATCTGACTGGGAAGACCCTGAAGCTATGTGGGCTGTTTGAATCTGTCACTATCGTTTTTGGTTTGGTTTGGTTTTTTTATTTTGATATTATGGAGAAGATTTTTTTTTTTTAATTGGAGATGTGATTTAACTGCAAGAAAGTTTTGAGCTGAAACTTTGGATCATTTTAGTGTTCTCTTAATTTTTTACCTCTAATGCTGTGTTGTATTTTTTAATGTAAAAACTAAATACCTGACTGAATCAAACTTTGTTTGATGTTCCATTTTATAACTGTTAGGCCCACTTCCAAATTAGTAAACCATTTTTTAATATACTCAAGTATTCGAGGTATTCGGTTCTGCAGATAGTAGCTTGTGTGTTTGACATAAATGAATGGAAATGACATCTTGAGTTACTGAGCCACTTTCACTCTCCTTATGGCCAGCAAGCCATGAACATGTTCCCATGGCAGTTTGCAGGCAGACAGAAGCGTTCATTTTCTTTTTTCCAAACAAGGTGTTTGTGGCCAGCCTTGAACTAGAAGAGCCTAGAGCTGAGGCTGGTGTGGGGCTGAATCAGAGCAAGTAGGCCATGATGAGCGGCAGGGGATGTCTGTATTAATTTGCACTCCTTATTCTGCTAATGAGCCCATGTTATTTGAGCTTTGGAACAGGATTATCTGCCTACTCAGCACTAGCAGAGGGAGTGTCTACCTGTGAGAGACTAGAAATATCTCTAGTCTCATGCCATTAGTTTCCAATTCCCATTCTCTAGCAAAGCTCCCTCAAAAAAACAGTCTGTTGCCTGGCCCTGTTCTGTTCCACGAGGATGACAGACTAGAGGTAGCTTGAATTCTTTGGGGACAAAATGTTATTTCTAGCTCCATAGCTGAAACAGATGAATCCTTTCACTTGAAGTTTTTCAGAATATATTTCCCCCGTGTGGAAAAGTTCAGCCAGAACTGTGAAGGTTTGGCAAAGTTACAAGCAAGGAAGATCTTTGAATGGAACCAGTGTTGGGCAACCATAAGAGGTGGTGCTTCCAGGTTCTCTTATCACCAGTTATCCTGCCCTGGGGCACTCTGCCTTTCTTTTCCTCATTAAATAGGATCATGAGGGTTTTTTGATTGTACAGTATTAGTACATTTTACTAACTTACAGTTTTATTTACAGTGTTTCCAAGATTTAGGAAGAAGCATTTGAAAATAAGCCTATGCTATTATTTCTTGTTATGGGGGGAGGGCAACAAATAATTGTGCCTTTTGTTGATCTGCTGTAGGAAAGAGAAATCTCTCATATTGAGAAGATTTTTTTTTCTCTTATGATTTCTTTCAGGTTTTCTGTTTGTATGGGTGTTGCAGTATGCAATGCAGCTATTTCTGTGTGCATCAGTTCTTTGCCTTTCAAAGCAAACTTCAGGGAAAAGATAGTGCTTTAATGTGAACGAGGAAACACATGAGAGATGAAAGAAAATCATTTGTGTCAAAGCTTATCCTGCAGTTCCCTTCCCCCTTTCTTCCTCTTACTAGAGACAGAGTGGGTTTACTAGTTTAGTTTTTCTCTGGGATGATGGGTGACACTTTGTTGTTTTAGGTAGCACAGAGGAACTCCTCAGACTCCCTAAATCTCATCTCGGGAACTGAGTGCAGGGCCAGGAAGTGTCTTACCAGATATGCTTGCTCCCCCAGGTGTCCAGAAGTGGTCCTCAAAGTCCTGGATTTTTTACTCAGGTTTGTTTTGTGATGGAGACAGCGTTGAAGTCTCACTGTGATGAACAGCACCCTCATCAGGCTGAAGACTTCCGTGGGAAACATGAGCAGAACAGCAAGCTTTCAGGTATGTGCTAAAATAGGGATTGCTAACATTACATTTTGTTGCTGATACGATTCTTCATCGCTTCAGGAAGTTTCATCATCAATTATAAACCTGTCTGTGTATGATCCTATTATATAAAGAATTAATGAAATGAAAACATTTGAGGTGGCTTTCGATTTTAAGTTTATTCCTGCTTTTTGTGTGTTACAAAACTTTAGCAGCAATAGCTTGTCACAATTCGCTAATCCTACTATTTATTTATTACAGAATATGTTATTATAAGAGGATACTAGAATTCAAAAAAAGGCACTCCTTGAGAATAAAATTATCTGACCAGACAAGTACGCAAAAATAATACTTTTTCTTTTAACCAATAATTGCTAGCCTTATCCTTAAATATCTTTAGATGCGTCTATGTGCATAAAAACACTGTTCTTGCTGTTACCAGAGAGCTGAACTACAAACATGTGTTCTGATAGCCGTTTTGTTGCTCATTTTTGGGTCTCTTTGTGAATGCACTTCAATCTGGACTTTCTGTACAATGCTTGCTCAGTAATTGTGGATGGTCAGCCAGGTTTTTTTTTTTATATATATATAATGGCTACTGATTTTCCTAGAAATAGATAGTCCTCTGTCAGTCCCCTGCACATCCATGTCCAGAATTACAGAGAGTGATGTTGAAAAATGTTTAATTGTCTCGCTTTGCAAATGCTTTTCATTCTAGGAAGTAAAGAAAATACTTCAAAATCTGCTCACAGAAAATGTTGGATATTATTATTATTGTTCTACATGGATGGTACAATGACTGTATGTTCTCTGTACCCAGCTGGAGATTCAGGCCCCCAGAAGAGAAGAGATGTTTACACAGCTGTCTGTCAACAAGGCCAGTCACTGACTGTTTCTAGCACTTCTCAGGATCTTTCACACGAGAAGCTGTGCTGAGTTACTAAATGCTCTCAGTGCCTTGGGTAGGCACTGCTCTGGCCTAGGATCTGTAGCCTGTGTCACCCAGCTGTTAGTGCTCCAACAGCACTGAACTTTGTCCAGGCAGGAACTTCAATTCAGTGTCAGACAAAAGGGAGTATTTGACAGATTCTATAGCAGTTATTGAGAGAACACTTTTCGTGACTGTTAGTGTCTACCTTAGGACTGTTAGACTGGTGGCACAAAACAACCCAAAACCTGATATGGTAAAGAAAGTAGAAATCTGCTGGTTTCTAAAGACTTAAAAGATGTGCCTTTTGAGCCCTTGTTAGGACTTCTGCTTTTTGCCAGAGTTAAGTACTCTTTTCATAACCAAGCAATTTTACTGGAGAAATTCCAGTGCAAATTTTATGTTGTAGTTACTGTCAGTATATTTTTTTTTCGGTAAAAACTGAAGCTTAAGCAACTCTCCTCAGATGTCAGACTAAAATGCAAGTATTGGAACAAAACTATCAGTTGCTTTATTTGGAGCAGGTTAGATAGCAAACTAGTTCTAAACAATGTTGTTCTAACAGAGCCTGTTAGAACTATAGTACTGTTGAAAACAATTTTCTAGCTCTGTCCTGTGGCTGCTGACCTCTTGGGATGAAGTTTGTGTAGGATGTTTCAGAACCCAGTAACAGGGTTATCTTCCCGAGGGGAAAGGCCTATGTCTTTGAGTGATGCAATAACATTCCGATGTTAAGTTCTTTATAGTTCTGTTACGTGGTTTCATCTCTTTACATCTTTGAGTATTCCTGGGGAAAATGGAACATGGTACAAATATTAGCCTTTCCCTTTCCTGTATTTTCTGAAGATTTCAGAAAGCTTTCTTGAATGTCTTACATTTGTTATGTAATACATGAGCATTTGTGTAAAAAGTTGAAATTACTGCGCAAACTAACTGGAAATATGACTCTTTAAATGATGAAGCTTTTTATTGACAATTATTTTTTAGTGACAGAACAACAAGAATTATGGCAATAATAGATAAATTTCTCAATAAAGTTCTGAGTACATGGGCAATATGAATACTACCAATTAAAAAAATGTTATGTTGTAACTTCTTGAATTTTTAGTGTTATTTTCAACAGAAATTTTTACTATATTGACAGGAAAATTAAGTGATCACTCAAACTTTCAGTTTCTTACTTTTCAAAGCGTTTAACTTAATCTGGCTCTGTAAAATTGGGGAATAACCAGAATAACTGTATAGATGACCAGTTTTCCTTAGCCTTTTCCTTCAGGGATTATTAGACACAAGGTCTTGTACATCTTGACTGTTAGTACAAGTCTGGTCATTTTTATCCTCGGATATTTTTGAAGTTTTTAAATAGGATTCCTAGCAGAACTAATTAACATTTTACTTGTATTTATTGATCAAATGTATCCTAAATGAATGTTAGTATTTCTGGTGTGTAGCATAGAGGGTTTTTTTATTCCTGAAATATCTCCCCTGAAATGACTTAAAACAAAATAACTTGGAGAAGCAGAGGGAACAGCTTCAAGGAATAAAAATGAGTAAAGGGGTAGTAAGAGAGGCAGCAGGCTTCAATTCTCAAAAATATTTTCAGTATGTTGGTTTTTATAAATTTTTGAAATAATAAAAATTACAATTGAAAGTTAACTATAACTTGAATTAACAACTAATTTATTGTGCTTTTACCAGGAAGAAAGGGTTCTTTAGGCAGACTTCAGATTTTGTTGCTGTATAATGTGAGCTAACGTAGAAGGTTGGGGATGCATGCTAATCCATACCTTGTTTCTAACACATCAGTGATATTTTGAAAATAATTCTTGTTGCTTATGACTTACTGTCCTGGTAAAGCAGAGTACATTTTTACATACAGAATACAATTTATATATTTATGTTAAATTTAATTTATTACTTATTTTTAGGATGAAAAATGTATACAACTTTTTTTCCTTCCATTTGATTGACTTCCCAAATAGCAGTTTGTGCTTAGTTCTGTATAATAAAACATTCTTCACCCCTGCTTTAAAGAAATTAATCACAGCTTCTACATACTTCATAGCTTCGAAAGAACTGAATTCTTATGCAGGGTATAGAGGACACTTAAACTACAAGGATTTGCAAACTGAATGGAAAACTACATAATTTTTTTAAATAATGCAGTACAACATCCTTGTCATGCCATCTAGTGATCGCAGCACAAAGTGCAGCAACTTAAATGCAGATCAAATGTTTTTTGGTTTTTACTGTTTTAAGTAACACTGTGAAAGATTGTATTATGGATCTTAAAAAAGAAAAAAAAATTCTTTTCCTACATGTTTGATTTGCATCTGATGGATGTGCTCGTGTACTTACAGAAGCAACTATTATAGTTTAGTCTTTTATGAAATTGATGTTGCAAATCTCATGAAAACATTTATAAATGAGCTGTAATCGGATGTCTTACTAACCAGAAGGCTTTTGCCTCTCAGGAACTGCTAGGTGGCAGATAGCTTAAAAAAAAAATTTTTTTAAAGAAAAGGCTGTAAGGGAGTGTGATGAATAAGAACAATAATATCAAGTATGCAGATGGTAATGTCTGCAGGGATAGATACCTGTCTGCTGTTTTTTCCTCTGTTTATGTGAATTCACAGTCCTATGAACTGAAGTGTGATTTGTAATCTCAAATATAGATCAGGTATTGAATCAAGCAATAAAATTCCTACCTTATTTTCCCTATTCTTTCCACAGCAAAAAAAAGAATAAAAAAAGATATTGAAAATCTTTATGAAGCAGTGCCACAGCTTGTAAATGTATTCAAAATTAAGGAAAAAATTGGAGAAGGTAAATGTTTTATTTTAGCTTTCTTTTGGTATTTCTAACTTAAAAGGTATAAATCTAAGATCCCAATATATCCAACTTAATCCAAATGCGTTTTTGATTTACTTCTTGGTCTCTGTAGGAATTCTAATATGTTGCTGAGCACATAGATGTGTCAATTAGGGCCATTTTCAAGATATTTTCTTGAAAATCTGGTATAATAAAGCCTTTGATAAAACCAGCTTTCCAGTTTCGATAACTAAAATTTTTTGAGGTAGATTCGAGTAAGTAAGTCTTAACACTCCATTCTTTTTCTCTTTTCCATGATAAATCTATTTATATGCAGCTGTGTTTTGACATACTTAACTGCTGTTCCTTTAGTTGGCTTTGTTTCCACTGAAACCCTGTGGGCAGAGGTGGAGGAGGAGACTGAATGATTATAGCCTGTTTATTAAAAAAATAAATAAATTGTTTTTTAAGACATACTGTACCAAATTTTAAAATGCTTGTGTACACATTGCCTTCAACAGATACTACTGCAGATACCTTCAATAAACATTAGGCATGTCTATAAATAGATTCTTATCTACTTCTGAGTGTGGGATTTCAGCACTTTTTGGAACTTTACCCATTTGATCTCTGAAATGCTTTGTGACACTCCACACTTTTAAACAAAGATGTTGATGAGAAGCTGGATTGTTTTATGGCTGTTTTGTGATGGAATACCTGTGATGGCAGGCTAGATGGCTAAGAGTTTTTGTGTCCAAAAAACCCCACAAAACCCAACAAAAACAACCCCAAAAAGCCCAGCTCCATTCACCACTGCAATACAAAATTTCAAAAACAAACAAAAAAAGGAGTTTTGCCTATCATAAAAAAGACAGTATGGTTATGCATAATACTTTGATTTTGCTCTTGGGAGCAAACAATGCTTTTAAAAAATACCACTTGCAGTTCTGCCGCATTATGAGAAAACAAGCTTCACCTTAGGATTCCACTCTGGAGTCACTTTCATTTTAGCAGTTCTCACCACCAAAAATAATGTCTTAGGTCCACTTGGTAACCCTTATTGCTATAATCAATTCTACTGAATGTATGGGACTAGATTTTTTTTTTTTTTTTTTTTTTTTTTAATGACTGCAAGAAGTATTTAGAGTTTTTGCTGGCATTTTGATGTATGCACTTACAGACTGTTGACCTAGCATGATGCAAATGCAATACTTAAAATGCAATCAAAAGTAATTTGTACTGTTTATCCATATGGAGGAGTGTTTCAACTTGTATGTTCAGATATCTCAGACAGGATAAATTAACCTCCTAAGAGGTATATTGGAATATCCTTAAAATTAAATGGGTGGGTAAGTTTATCGTACAGTCCAAATACTCCCTTTCTCAAATGAGTCGATCGTGTTCTCTCTATGTTCTAATGCTCTCGGCAAACAAGTAGTAAAGTTACACATCATATGGGAAGTCTTATTTCATAGATAAGGTAACAGAATTAAGAAAAATGTAGCAATTTCAGAAATGCTTTGAGTGGTAAAGGCAGTGCTTTCCAGATTAGCATTATATAGCCCACTTACATTGTAAAAAGTAAAGAAGAGTTAGATGTCAGATGAAAGTGAGCTACCTAAACAAGAAAGCAAATCAAAGATAGGATATTTACATTCAAAGAGCTCTGTGTCCCAGGCAAGTTAGACAGTGTTACATTTGCATTTTTACTGACACAAAAAACTTGTATACAAGATCACTGAATTCAGTAGTAGAAAAAAGGAACTGCATTTTTCTCTTCTAGAACCTGCTTTTGATGTAGTACAAAGTATACTGCAGAATTGTGAACAGTTAGATCACTTCTGTAAAAAGCTGAATTGACCTAATTAAAAATGCTGAAGACAATGCTTTTCTCCCTTCTTTACAGGTACTTTTAGTTCTGTTTACTTGGCCACAGCACAACTACAAACAGGAAATGAGGAAAAAATGGCTCTGAAACACCTGATTCCAACCAGCCACCCTCTGCGAATTGCTGCTGAACTTCAGTGCCTCACAGTAGCAGGGTACATAAATAAAAAAGCTATGACTGTCACGACTAAACTGCTGAACATTCTATCACTGTTCTGTATTTATTTATTTTAAGTTTTGGCACTTCGCTTGCTTTTTTTTTTTAACCGCAGAAATGTATATTCTTTTTATCAAGAGCAAATAAGAAATGGAGTGTCTTACCTGTAATGAATGCCCTTTTCTGCTAGTCTGCTAGTCTCAGTTTGCGGATGGTGCTCTATTTTCCATCTGAGAAGTTCTATGATGCATCTCTGTGATAACAAAAATTCCAGTTCTGAAATGCTTGGAAAAAATAATCTCTTCATCAGAAAACGTGTTTTTAGCAATGAATACTTGTTACCAGAGTGTGCTGTATAGCGCCTTCTTAAAGTAGTTGGTATCATAAAGGTTAGGTCCTACATTTAATTACAGTGGTAACCACAAACCATGGCCCCACAAATACTCTGTGGAGCCCTCATTGCAAATTGAAGAATTCAAATGGAACATAGCAATAAGCAGCAACAGCATAACTACTGACTGCTGCTAAGACTGCTGTCAAAACATACATTAGATTATAAAAGAAAGCCTGACTGAAGTTTTTAAGAAATAAAGGAAAATAAACATCCATCTTCTGGTCTTTATTCAGTGACATTACTTTTCTTCTAGGGGACAAGATAATGTTATGGGAGTTAAATATTGCTTTAGGAAAAACGATCATGTGGTTATTGTTATGCCGTATCTGGAACATGAATCCTTCTTGGTGAGTCCTAGACTTTTTATGTGTAGTAAAACTTTTTAATTAAAAGCAGTTGCATAATTACAGTATCCAAATAATCTTTCAGGACATTTTGAATTCTCTTTCCTTTGAAGAAGTGAGGGAATACATGTTTAATCTGTTTAAAGCGTTGAGGCGCATTCATCACTTCGGTATTGTTCACCGTGACATCAAGCCCAGTAACTTCCTCTACAACAGGCAGCTAAAAGAGTAAGTCTGTCCAGATGACCATATTGTGATCTCATTTGGGGATGTGTGCCTTGGCAGAACAGAGTCAGTTAGGCTTTTGGGTTTTCTTTCCTTCCAGCTGCATAACATGTGCTTAAGTAATAAAGCTAAACTTTTCGTTCTGTGTTTAGGGATTTGAGGAGGGAAGGAATTTTTTTTCATACTTAATGTGATATCTGCCTCATAGAGTGACAAGTACCTGAAAAAATTAAGAATTTACTATTGAGTAAAAGTACTACATTTTGAATAGGAAGAATAAAATCAGGGTTTTTTTTAGTAAGAAAACTAATAGTGACTTGTGGTGCATAGACTGATACTTGTAAATTTTCACTTGTGGATTGAGTAAAACTGATACAGATGAGATAGCTGGATTTGGACTGTTTTCACCTTACATTGAATTAATGTTTATAACTAGTAGCGTTGGGTTTTTTGCCTGCAAGTTACAATATTTAAAGACTGTAAAAAATGAGGTACTGCTTTTTTGTGAAGAGCTGAAATGGATAGAATAATGTACAGTTTCAGTGCTAGCAGTCATATAGCTGTATTGGTAAGTGGTGTGCTATGTACAATTGAGACATTGAGGTACTGGAGCATGTCCAAAGCAGGGCAATGAAGCTAGTGAAGGGTGTGGAGCACAAGTCTGATGGGGAACGGCTGAGGGAGCTGGGGTTGTTTAGCCTGGGGAAAAGGAGGCTGAGGGGAGACCTTATCACCCTCTACAACTACCTGAAAGGAGGTTGTAGCGAGGTGGGAGTCAGTCTCTTCTCCCAAGTAACCAGTGATAGGACAAGAGGAAATGGCCTCAGGTTGCACCAGGGGAGGTTTAGATTGGATATTAGGAAATATTTCTTCACTAAAAGAGTTACCAGGCATTGGAACAGGCTGCCCAGGGAAGTGGTGGAGTCACCATCCTTGGAGCTATTTAAAAGATGTGTAGATGTCATCCTTAGGGACATGGTTTAGTGGTGGACCTGGCAGTGTTAGGTTTACAGTTGGACTAAATGATCTAAAGGTCCTTTCCAACCTAAATGATTCTATGTAGTGAAAGTTTGTAGGGGAGATTTGGTATATTTTACCAAACCAAAAGCTTAAAAATTTGAGAAATACTGATTTTTACATTTTTTTATTTAGTCTGTCAAAATGAATTTGTACTGTCGTTTTGCTCTTCCAGCATTTGTTTGAGCCTTAATCTCTACTTAGGGTGTGGAAACCATGGAGTTGAGTTTCTCTGAGACCCAGAGACAGCTGGATTGTCTCTGTACTGGTTGTAGAAAAAAATAATTATTTTAAAGACAGATCTGAAGTGTGAACTAAAGTAGTCTTACCTGTTTGAAGACTGGAGTACATTCCAGTAGTATCGCTTGAAATCTGGCAAAACTCTAAGCGTTCTTAGTCTTGACCGTCTTCACTGCTACATTTGTCCTCTGGCCATGGGAATGCTGCAAGGGTCAAGTCACTTGCACTTGACTGTTGGCTAAAGGTTCAGAGCTGTAGGATTAGAAGAACCCCAGAAAGGAGTTGCTGGGAATACTTTTTTAACACCACTGGAGAAAGTGTGCACTTGAGAAGATTTTGGGACAAGAAACAATCAAGTACCCTCTAGGGTAAAAACATTGTGGGGATACGTAAGATAGGACAAGAGGAGGAGGGAAATAGGACTGTGATGCTGGCAACAGTACAGATAAGCAACATATTGAGTAAAATGTGAAAGATAAGTAAACAAGTAATGAATAGTAAATTGAACCAATCGATGGATACTTTGTGACTCCTGATTCTAAATTTGTGTCTTTCAGGTATGCCTTGGTAGACTTCGGCTTGGCACAAGGAACCCCCGACACGAAAATTGAACTTCTCAAAACTGCCCACTCTGAAGACCAGCAGGGAAGTTGCTCACAAAATACTCCCGCCATAGCCTTGGGAACTGGGGTTTCTGTCAGTGTCACAGCACCTAAACAGATAGCTCAACAGTCAGCCTCAAAAGCAGCTGATAAAAGGTCCAGCTCACTTTCAAAAATACAGACTAAACAAGGAAGAGGAGGAAAGGTTCTCAGTCTTTTTCATTAATATTGTTGTATGCCTAATGTATTACTTCATCCAACAGGGGGAGATGTAATACCTGAACACAAGTTGTGCACGCATATCTTTCAGGGCCCTAATGTGATGCACAGAATCACAGTTTTCATATCAAAATGGCTAGTGTTACGTAACCCCATTGGCATCATTCATTATCTGTTAGATATAATACAATGCCAAAGGCTGTATAAAACCCTAGCATGGATTACTATTTAGACAGCCTTAAATCTTTTTTTAAGTGACATGTACTGTGGAACTCCTCCCCAAGCCAATAATTATTCATCTATGTTTAGTTACTTAGTTGCATAACAAATGCAGTACAGATGACATTCAGATTGTCTTGGGGTACTTCTGAGGTGTGATTCGTTTTGTAAGCATGTTTGCTGTTCTGTCTAGACCATGTTTTCCTCATCCACAGGAAAGTGATGCCTGAAAATGACTTACCATGCAGCTGTTCTTGGTTTATGTCACTTCACACTTTTTTTTTTGAACTGTCAGTATCCAGCTGACTGTGTGTTAGATAGGATCCTTATTGTCATTTTTGTTGCTATTGTAGGAGGATTCTGTACACCATTCTGTCCAGCGCTCTGTCTTTGGAGAGAGGAATTTCAATGTCTATAGTTCAACATACCAGGAGAACTTGAGTACAAAAGTAAGAAGTATGACCCATCCGTAAGAACAATCTGTTACGTATTTGAAAAATTACAGAACTGGTTGTTCTGTAAGAGTGAACACTGCTCCAGGGTGCTGTGGAACTAAAAGTTTTTGAGCAGATTATTAAGTGTCTTTGCTGAAAGGCTCAAAGAATTTTTCATTTCTGTTCAGTCCCTTTTGAAACTCTTAAAGAACTAGTTACGTCGCTGTCTCTCTAGCTGATCTTGTTTGTATCCTAAAGTAATCTTTTTTCCTACACATGTATCTGTGCAACTAAGATACACTTAGCTTGTGAAACTTCTTTTTTTTTAATTTTGCAGTTGAAGCTGGAGGGAAAACTTGTAATAAATATTTTTCTGTATTTTTTGTAATTAGTATTTAATATGACAAGGGGGAAACCCGAACTAAATTAGAGGGTTTGGCCAAAAGTGATCATCTTATTGTAGAATTAGAGTTAGTGCCTGTGTGTTGCTGTGGCATTTCATATACTTTTTTTATTATTCTCACGTTGAACCAGAAGAATTGTTGAAATATTACACTAACTTGAAAAATACTTGTCTTGTAACTTCAGAGTATCTAATGTATATTGTTTTTCAGTAAACACTGAAAAATGTTTTCCAAAGGGGAAGGGGAGGAAATCAGGATATTTAGAAAGCTCCGGTGTCTGTTTTATAGATGTTGTGATATTGTTAAAAAGGTTTGCTGTCTTCTGTTCTAAAATTGCAGCTTCTTGCTCATAAGCACCTCTTCAGTCTTAGTATTCTAGGAACTGGCCTATCTATATGTAAAGGGAAGCTTCTTAAATATGTCATCTTCTCTAAAATAATCTACATTGCAGCTCATAAAACAATCAAAGATGATAGATGTTTCATCTAGGAAGTTGGTAACAAAGAAGATCGTTTCTACCAAAACAGTGAGCAATGGGGCAGCCAGGAAAGCTGCCAGTGGTTGTCCCTCAAACCTGACCTGTGACTGTTACGCAACAGATAGAGTTTGCAGTGTTTGCCTTTCAAGGTAATTTGCTTTGATAATGTTGTAAAATTGTCTGCTATGCTGTCAAGCAAGGTCAGAAACTTAGATTTACTAGACAGCTGATTTATTAGGTGAAAGATAGCATTTGATTTATGCAGCCGTTGAAACACTGAGTATGCTCTTTTTAAATAACAATAGTTTGGGGAATTAAAGGAATAATTGGTTCACTGCTATCTGCAGCAAGAGAGATTCACTGTTAATGATTTTTTGTTGTTGTATTTAATTATCCACCTACACGTGTTGTAGAAAATCTCAAGTTAAATTACAACACTAAGAGAAGACTGTCTGTCATTAGTAGTTATCTAATAGGCCTAAATCATGCCAACGGTTTGGATTCTGGAAATAATGAAACATAGAATAAAAAGGAAACATGACTGCTTTGTATTTATTCATTTAAAAAAATAATGTTTAAGTTTTAATAATAGACAGGTTAGAGAATCTTAATAACTCAGTTCAACTCCTCTGCAGTTAGTTTTGGTTATGATGTACTATCGCCTTTTATCCACAGATTAATGCAGAGAATTCTGCTTACTAGGCATAGTCATGAAACTGTGGGGTCCCTCTCTTGCCAGACTGTCAAAATATGGTCATATCAACTTCATTTCAAAAGTATGAAACATGAGGAATTTGACAGACTCAAAAGAGAAGTGGCCCATAGAAGGAAGACACTTCAAACCATACAAGAAAGCTCTGGAAAGTTTGTTTTTTTTTGGTGGTGTGGTTTTTGGCGTTTCCCCCCCCCCCCCCCCCCCCCCCCTTAATGATAATCTCACACCTTTTAATTAATCTAATGAAAAGAAAATTATTGTCAACATTCAGAAATAGTGAACCTTAGTTTGCTGTGGCCTAATACAAAGCCAGAGCATTCGCATTCAAGAATCTAGTGCATTTTTTGCCTATGGTTAATTAGTCTCAACTTTAAAGTTTCCTATGAAAACAAGCCTTTAGCAAAAATGATGCTGCTGTTGAAAGAAACTAAAAAAGGTCATTGTGAGTGAAGTATGCAATAAGTATTTCTGTGGTATTACCTTATGCTAGATAATACAATAATATAATAGATAATATAAGGCTATTATGCAACATAATTTCTTGCATTTCTGATTTTATTCTTGCTTGCATAAGATGCTTCAAACTTCTACAAAACTTGAGTAAGGCAGGTTCAGGCTGTTTACACATCTTACACAAGTATATTCTAAAAATGATGTTAAGCATTATTATAATCAGAACTTATTTATCAACTCTTATATTCTAAACATGTTTGTCTCTTATTACAAGGTGTCACCAAGTTGCTCCCAGAGCAGGAACACCTGGATTCAGAGCACCAGAAGTATTAACAAAGTGCCCCACACAGACCACAGGTACTGCACAGCAGACTGAAACTAATGCCTTTTTTTCCACCTTTTGATCCGTCTCATTTATGCATATTATATTGTCTTTTTTTATGGGAGGGTTTTTGTTTACATGTGAAATTAATTGTATCATCCCTTCTAACACTTATCGAGTGTTTCCTGATTTTAATTAAAAGTTTTTTATTCAGAGTAAGAACAAGTTAGGAATATTTTTCCTGTGTTTAAAACTTGAATATGTCTTTATTCATTTGAGGGGCAGTGCCATATGCAGGAGCTGAATACAATGTTTTTTAAAAGAAAACAAAGCTGTAATTTTTATCAAGTTTCTTGGCTTATTGGCCTATTTATTCAAGTAAATCTTGAATAAATCTTGGGGACAGGACATACTTTAGCCTTTTCTAGACAGATTGTCACATATAGTTTGCTGTCACAGCAGGCATAGTTAATGGTATAATTGCAAATGTGTTTTAGAAAGCATTGCTTATTACTCTTTATCAGATTGTTTTTTTCCCTTTTGCTAGTGCTTTAAATAGCTGGTCTGTAAATGTCATAATTTTTTCTTACTAAATTTTTGATTTCTCAGGGTTATCAACTTGATAGTTTTTAAGTTTCAGTAGTCTGGGAAAGTTTCAGGGCAGAGCAGAGGGATGGTTAATGCATTAGCTGATGCAAGTAGGATGGGAGAGGTTGTGCCTACCTGGAGAATGGAGGACCAATAAAAGCGAAGTTACCTGTTAAACATTTGGTATACGACCAGGAGTTTTGACTTATGAAAAAGGGGGATAAATACAAACGTCCTCAAAAATTTGATTTAAAATAGCAGGGTTTAGCCACTTTTTTGCAGTATACCTTTTGAGAAAATTGTCAGGTTTTAGTACTTAAAGTGTGTATACACACTCAGAATAGACTTAACAATACATTTGATCAGCTTATCCTTAGATAGCTTGGTGTTATTTGAAACAGCATCTGTGCTGTGGGTATGACTGGGATTCCAAGAGGTGTGGCAGCCTCTTTGGAGTTACCATGACTGTGCTGTAACAGCCAGCTTTATGGGCTAGAAGACGTCCAGAAATCCGGGACAAGTTGAGACAATCTCTGAATCTGTCTAGACAGAATTCAGGCAGAAAGAAGACATACCTAGGAAATCTTGGACACATGCTGGCATTAAATATGCTTTCAGATGGTTTTCTGTTCTCTAGGGTATTGGAGAGCAGGATTACAGAAAATATGGGTAAATCTGGAAACCCTTGGGTGTGGCACAGACAGCCCTAAAAGTACTGAGTCAGTGGTGCCAAGCTCCTGTAGTATGTCAACAAAGGCCTTAATTAGAACTGGGTAGATTAATACTAATATTTATGAGATTATGTTCTATTTGGACTAACAAATCTTCTTGTCCACTTCCATCTGGGACTGCTGAAGTCACCTCCTTGTATTCCTGCCAATCTTTCTACTAGTTCTGGTCTCTGTGCTGAGACCAAGTTACCGGCTGAGACTATCCAGAGCTACCTCAGTGCATCTGACCCAGGTTCACAGTGCAGGGAACACAACCTAAACTCCCCAGTTGATGTTATACAGGTCCAGTTACACTTTAACTTGATTTGTCCCTCTGCTCCCCTTTCCTCGGTCTGCCTCACTAGTTGGATAGCACAAGACAAAAGCATAGAGAGGAATCATGATTTTGATGTCATTGCACAGGATCTTGCAGTCTGCTGATGATCCCAGCTCTACCAGAATTGTAGGCCCAGGATTTACTAGCCATTGAGATATGTAATGTCTATTAATTTCAGCAAGAGTTAAGTAATTAAACTTCTTTAAAGGTCTTGACCTTGATGACTCCAGCTTTCTCAACCACATACTCGAGGTGATGCACACCACCTCAAGCAAATAGTATGACCTTTTCAACAGTGGTACAGTAATACTAAAACCTTTTTACAGGAACTATGAAGAAGATACAAAATTTTTCCACTGTAAATTGTGCCAAACAATTAACTTGGATTTTTGTTTTTTTAATAAAAGACTTAAAAAAATGCTGGTTTTGCAACTGAAGTCAACTTAATACTTTTTTTTTTCCCCGAAGGCCGGTGCTTAATAGTGTTTCTAATTAAAATGCCCAAATTAATTACTGCCCATCTTACTACCTTTTTTTTTGAAGAGAAGTAGAATAACTGTGGCTCTATTTCGTAACTGTTAATTTTTCTCTTTAGAGTTTGAGAATCCTTCAAACTCTCCCCTTCACTTTCCTTGCCATTTCTGAAAATGTGTACCTTAGTGAGCCAAAAAATTATGGCAGACAGGTATTCTCATAACTTTCAGCATTAAAGTTTCCATCATGGTTTGGCATCTATCCCCAGAGTACTCTCTGTACTCTTCATAACACAATGAAAGTGATGAATAAGTTCTAACTATTAAAATTGTTAAACTGGCTATCTTGTCAAGTGATTTCGTATGAGAGAGGAACAAAGTTCATAGTAAGATAAATTTTTTAGTACTGTCTAACTGTGGCAGCCTCAGTCCCAGAAAAATTCAGATTTGCATTAATTTGTGAATTATTTTTTAGTTATGATCCTTATATAAAGGTTTTCTTCATATGAAGCAAAATTAAATATTTAAGTATCAAAACTAGCCAGTTTTTCACCCCCTCTCATTTCCCTGGGTAAAACAACCTTAAACATTGTTTTGGTACATTTTAAGTTTAGCAAGTTAATGGAATTACTCATATGAAAAATTCTATGGAAAAGCTGAAACAATCCCTCTGCATCAAAGCAGGAAATTATTCTTCAATCTAATTATAGTAATTTCCACTGTTTGCTGAAGTGTTATCTATGTGACCAAAGTCAGTAGTACTTTTTCTGATAGAAATTTTTCAGGTCATAATTTCTTTTTAAAGAACATTGTGATTTTGTTTGTGATGAAATCGTGAGTTTAGTCATTACTCAGTTTGTTTCCAATTGCAGCAATTGACATGTGGTCTGCAGGAATCGTATTCCTTTCTCTGCTCAGTGGACGATATCCATTTTACAAAGCAAGTGATGATTTAACGGCTTTGGCACAAATCATGACAGTACGTGGATCCAGAGAAACCATTCAGGCAGCTAAAACTTTTGGTATGCAAACCTTAATTATGGGGGAAAAGGAGAAAATGTATGCTTGGTCTGCTATTTAATGCTGTGACTTGCAATCTGTTTCTTTTTTTTTTTTTTCAAATATATAAATATATTTTCAGGTTTGGGAGTCAATTTGGAGGTAAATCACACTTTTTGCGTGTAAAACACTAAAAGTACTATTCTATATATACAGAGTTTTAAGAAAGTTTTGTATTTTTTTATCTCTTATAATTTGTATATGGGGTACTTCATGCCATAGGTTTCCCAACCTGTCTACTGCCTTTCATTAAGTCAGGGCCACTTGAGGTGAAATATGCCAACTAACTGTTTCCTACTGCCATTTGGTTAGAATTCTTAAGGCAATGTTTCTATTCCTGCAAAATTTGCCCTGGAGGCTTAAGTCAATATGACTTAATATTTAGATGATGTAAACCTTGCTTTCCCTCCCCCCCTCAAGAAGGCCTAGTAAAAAACCAACCAACCAAAAACTAAAATAAAAACCCAACAGATGGCCTGTTTAAAAAAAAAACCAAAACCACCACCACCACACACACAAAAACCAAAAATAACCAATCCCCTAATTGTTTGCTGGCCAGATGCTGCAGCAGTTGTTATCTGAAAGTGTAACTGACAGCATCAATTTTCATTCTTCAGACAGAGATGTAAAAATCAGAGTATCTAATTTTCTTCAGTTCTGTTAAAATGACAGTGAAATGCAAAAAGATGGCGTGGGGGGTGGGTGACAAGGTATCACTATGTAACTTCACAAACAAACCCAAACAGCTTTGTTTTGAACAGAACTGAGGCTATTTTCCTTCCGACTTGCTGGGGCTATTGCTGTAAAATGTGGATGGTTTGTTTTTCTTTTTTTTTTTTTTTTTCCTCTTAATGCTGGTTACACTTCAAGACATTCATGTTTCTCTGAAACAAACTTAGAAGTTACAGTTGCATAGAAAGTATAATAAAAATGTGGTTTACTGTAAATTTTTTTTCTAGGTAAATCAGTTCTGTGTACCCAAGTTGTCCCGGCACAAAACTTAAGAACCCTCTGTGAGAAGCTGAGAGGAACAAATAGCAGCTGTAAGAAACCCCAGAGTGAAGTGCCCAGCAAGTCCGTAAATGACTCAGCTTTGCCAGTTGCAGTAGACAAACCGTGTGCTTCTGAGGCACTCGGAAAACAAATTCAACACTCAAAGAGCTTTCAGGAAGGTGAAGGTGCTTTGGACATGAAGGCAACAGAGATGAAAGGATGGGATCAGGTTCCTGATGAAGCATATGACCTACTTGATAAGCTACTCGACTTAAACCCTGCAACAAGAATAACTGCAAAAGAGGCTTTGCTGCATCCTTTTTTTAAAGACATGAGACTTTGAGAAGATACTGTATTCTATTACTGTTTTCATATGCTTTACATGAAAATGAGATACTGAGGTAGTTTTACTTTGTTGCCCTCAACATTTACACTCATTGAAATACCATCACGCTGTGCACAGAACTACTGAAATTTTGTCTTGTACAGTTGGACAGCAAATGTCAGTTTAAGAAATACATGCAGATGTAAAAATGACATAAACTTCACTAACATGGTCTTATCCTAAGACAGTTCTGAGGGGTTATTGCTCTGCATACCTGTTCTCTGAAAAAGTTAACTTTGATCAAAAACTACAAAGAAAAAATGTTTCACAAGCTCTGTGCTTAATTCTCGAGATACTCCCTTAAAATTTACAAATTTGCCTTAAGGTATGACCGAAATAAAGTGCTTGAGAGACTTCTTTCCATGTTTACATCTCTCTGCTTTGTTCCTGATTAGTACATGGGGGACTGAAAGTGGAACAAAGTGTGTTAATTTTGTTCAGACTATTTTCAGAGAACAGTATTACCTGGGAGTATTGCTAAAGGAGGGGCCAGGTGCTGGATGTTATATCATCAAAAGCAAAGCATAACTGTTTTAAAAGTACATTTTTGTTCCTGTCTGGTCTTTCCTACTTCAGCAATAGTAATAAATGCAGTTACTCAATTTGCATTGCCCATGTTTCCTCAGTGCCATGGGTAACTGTCAATATTCAACAACTACTGCCTTCAGAATATCTCATGTGACATGCATAGGTTTGATTTCTGTTTTTTTTTTTTTTAAAAGTAATATCTGCTAAATAAAGGATTTGTTTTTATAACTTCAGAAGATTGTCTAGAGATGCTTCTATAAAAATTAGTCAGGTGAGGTTTTCCTGTGGGATGTTTCTGTTCAGGAAGAATTACGCACATTTTGTTTCCTGCATAAATTCCTCAGTGATAGGACACTTTTCAGATAGCTCCAGTGTATATGACTGTCATAGTGGAAGTATCTTAATTATCAAGGAAGTCTTACCATGGAGTTAGAAGCTAGCTATTGTCTGGTCCTAAGTAGGAAAAACAACCATAATAACCTCTAACCCCACACATTCAATGTGCAAAGTTAGTTATATTATGTTCAGCAGAAGTTACACTAAAACCCTTGATAATTCTGGAGACTGAAACTTAATACAGTGTTTTTCCATGTACATTTCTTGAAATGCTAATGGAGTTGTTGCTGTAAGAGGTTACGAGCCATGCTGAGAAAGGATTCCTGCTTTGATAACTTTTATATGAGCCCTCTCATATGAGCTGGTGGTTACAATAGTGCAAAGGTCCTGACCAGGGCTGGGGCTGAAGAGACGTTATTTCCATATATTCAAAATCTTGAATACATAGAAAGTGATGGTAATGTTGCTCTGTTCCTGGCATCAGCTGTTAGAGAAAAATATTTGCAGATGTCAGAATATTGATTGCAGAAAATCTTGAAACCCACAGGACCCTGGGGCCCAGGTCTTAGTAATTTTTGCTGTTTATATAATTTCAACACAGCACGTCACTGAGAAATTATTTATCTAAAGGAACTGTGGCCAAATTTGGCAAGCAATGCTGTCTGCCAGTGTCTGCAGATGTATTGTTTCCTCCTACGTTCACTCATGCTGTCTATGGTCTTACGAGAGCATTAGCTGACAGCAAGCAAAAATATGTCAACTATCTATTTTGAACTTTCTAAACGACTTCAGCTTCTTGAACTTTCCTGCTAACGACAGCATTGAGCAGCTCCTTGCAGCAGGCACTACAACAATTTACCACTGCATATGTTTAATAGCGAAAAAGGGAAAATCATTGCTAATGGTGTTTTTACCAAAATATTAAGGGCAAATAAAATTTTGTAAGGAACAATTCTAAGCTCATATTCCATAACAAGCTAGAAGAACACATTGTTATTCCTTCTTCCAGACAGCTATTTATTTAAAACCTGGAGAGGTCTTTTTTTGGGGGGGAAGGATAAAGTGAAAAGAAAAATGTGTTTGAACAAGCATATGCTTACGAAGTACTTTTTGTAGCACTCTACAAAAGAATGAAAGCCAGAAGTAAAACATTAAATGCAATGGGCTCTTAATGGAAGGAAGGAGAAAAAAAAAAAAGAGAGAGAAAATAAAGGAAAAGAGCAAGAAAACACTAGAGGCGGGCAGTGGTTGCCACTGAGTTTTTTGCTTCTCTCTCCTGTGGTTCTAAGAATCTCTCAAAGCCATAGGTAAGAGCCAATACCAAGATTCCTTTAAAGTTTAATTATATGATTTGAGATTTTTATAAACTGAATGTGAATCTCCTACCATGAGAGCTGCAATTAGAAGAAACTCTGCACAGAAATGACTGCTGCAACACATGTTCAGTGGTTGTGAGGCCACAGCTGGATTACTGTTAAGTTCTGGACACGATGCTATGACAAGGATATTAATAAATTGGAAAGAAACCAAAAACGGCAGCAAAAAGCAGCATAGACTTGGAAAGATGAAGAGAGACTGATACCTAGAATCCTGAGAACAGAGTGCTGGGAGCAAATCTAAATACATCTGTGTATCTAGCATAGGGAAGACTAGCTTATGCTCAGTATTAAGCTAGGCTAGGTGAGGAAATTGTGGCATGTGTTAAGTTTATGATTTTTTCCTAGTTGTAAATGATGATTAGGAAACAGGAGGGCATCTTATTAAGAGTGCTTGAGGAAATACCGGCAAAACAGCAAGAAAGTTTTTCTGGATAATACTGATAATAAGAGATAAATGAAATTCTAAGTTCTATTGAGTTTATAGTCCTATCACTTCTGAGATTGGACTCAACGAAGTGCTCATTTCAAGCAAAATACTACGTGGATAAGAAAATAAATGGGACATCAATATTCTGTCTGAGAATATTCAGTATCCTCCTTATTTTATGCATTTGCCATATCTGAGTTTACGTATTCTCTGCACTCCAGAAAGTAAAAGCAATGTGGAATCAATATGCAGCCAAGACTTCCTCTGCAGGTGCAAAAGGCTCCCCTGAATCCTGGAGTGGCCTCTGGAGGCCATCAGATGTGATGGGATCCTAAAGTGTTTCCATAACTGCCCCATATCCAGCCAAGTTCCTATGGTCAGGAGCTATGTTGGACCTTAAGGTAGAATATGAAGGAGATTTTCATTCCAGGGCGCCTCTGACACGGGTAATCTAGCAATCGGTGCATTGCAGTTTTGAAGGAATGAAAACACACATCAGACTCATGGTGGGCTTTGTAATCTGTTCTGGCTCCCGTGAAACATCTTATTTCAGACATGATTGCCAAGCAAAAAAAAAAAAAAAAATTTCCTTTACAAAGCTGATTTATTTTCCTAGCATCTTTCTGACCATTACATTCTACTAGTCAGCAAAATGCAAAGAGAAATAAAAAAATCTTTAGAGCTTGCTTCAGATATTTACTGGTGATGAAGAGGTATGTTGTTCTTCTGAACTAGATGACATATGTAAAAGAAAGTGTTTGCATTTAGCAGGGCACACCTGAAATTTTCTTACCTCCTGAAAGCAGAGTGCACAAGACAACAGAAGTCAAAATACCAGTTTTCTCCCATTTGTTCAATTTATCCGCAAATTTCAAAGACACTTCAGCTATGGCGAGAAAATGACTAACCATTGGAGGCACTTAATGGAACAACAGCATTTTAAAGGAAATTAATACTTAATGGCTTCATGGATTCCTAATCTATAATGGAACAATATCTCAATTAGTAGGCTTATAGCAAGGACAATTCTCTGAGACATTACTCAAGCAATGTTCTTACTGCATCATAGCTGTAAATGGGTTTTTGTGTTTTGGGGTTTTTTGTGTGTTTGGTTTTTTTAAATCACAGTGAATTTTTGCACTAACCTAGCCACAGCATGTTCATTTCAAATTCCTCTTGTGCCTTTTCCAGAAAGCAGAACATATACACACCATGTCAGTGGCAGTACATGGGTTGTTCATACTCCTTGCTGCTGCTGCGTTCCTGGCTGGCCAGTTCAAGAGGTAGTAAATATTTAAATTGGCAGCCTGCGCACAGTGGGTGGAAATTGGATAGGCCCTTTGATCATACGCTTACGAAGGCCAGCATATAGAGTTTTGTTACTCTGGTAACAAGAACTTTCAGGTACCACTGAGATGAGGGTCCAGTAAATTTGGTATTTTGCATCAGGAAGGTAGAGCATAACCCAGATAGCCAAGGGTTTTAAAATGTGCCTGTTGTATAACTTAATTCTGTCTCTGCCTGACTCAGCCTTTTTTACTTTCATGTCCTTTAACTCTGCAAGAATATTATCCCTATACAATGCTTTATGGTATCATGTTAAAAACTAACCACTATAAGCATTCCTGAGTATCCTCAGAGTATTGTTTATTCCATTTCTGGAAAGACTGAAATCCTCCTGTGGGGATATGGCAGGGAAGAGGGTGGTTTTATTATGTGTTATTTGCTTTCTTGCATAAAGTTCTTCCATGGTTTTCAGAAGAGTTGGAGTTTAATCTAAGCCCTAATTATACCTTTGTTTCAAAAATACGAGTGCTAAGAAGTGTTTTACTGGAGGTATCCAATCGATCCATTTCTTTTATATGGCATAAATGAACTACTTGTAACAAATAATGCACAATGTTTGACTTCCTAATGTGAAGAGATAGGGATGTAGCCTAACAAATGGAATATTTGAAGAAAATTCACTTTTTATGATGAAAGGTTATATAATTTGATTTAATGAATGCCACAGGTCATGTCTAGTAGGAGGCAGGTCATTGATAAAATCTGTGTCACACTTTCCATTCCTGTTTCTTCTCACCACCTCCCCCAAAAAATCCTACCAGAGTATCAGATTCTTGCACTGTGTGTTAACTACAAGGTATTTGTCTTTAATGATTCTTTTGCTGCTTTGAATGTTACTGTACGTTCTGTGCAAACCACCAATTATTTCCTTTTCCAAGTGTCCTATGGGTCCTCTCAAGTCCTGCTTCTGTTCTACTGTCCATTTGCTTGTTTCAGAGATC